ATCAAAAAAAAAAAAAAAAAGCCTGTCCTTATCTCTAAATGTATGTAGCTACCTTTGTGTCCTACCCTGCTGCATTTTGACAGCCACACTATACACGTGAAAACACTCAGCAATCACCAGCAGCAAAGATTTTTTTTGTGAGAGTGACTCGTGCTTGGAATGAGCAAGTGCTGTTAATTATTCATCACTCGTTAGTCTCTTGTTTAGCAAATTTCAGTCACATTGCTGGGGATCAGAAATGCAACCCAGGGGGCTCAAAGGTACGTAATGAACAGCAAACAGCTCTTGGGATCAGCCAGGCAGGCAGCCATGAGGTTGAAATTTGCTTGGGCGAAGAATTCAGAAAATAACACTCACCAGCATCGCCACCAGCTGATCAACATTAGAGTGGCAAGCACAAGAACAAAAAACGGCTGAAATTTCCAGCCATCTAAATCCTGTGAGGGATCTGACACATATGGATGCACCCGAAGCCTGCAGTGGCATCTGTGATGCTCACACAGTGAGGACGGGAGGGAGATGCTCCAGCACACCTCGCTCGCACCGTGAAAACGTCTGTCTGCCCACACTGATGTATTTCTAACCATCTCGATGAAGCTGCAGTAGGGACAGGGCCTTCATGTTTTGGTCCCCGCTATACGGTGGGATCCCAGTCTACAACTGAGACTGCCAAATGCAGTAACAAGAGAGGTAGGTAGCAGGCAGGCAATTTCTGCTCTTTGTGACGCACAGAGCCCATGCACAGACCTATAGCGGAGCTATTATGAACCAGCTTGAGTGAAACCCCAGACTGTCAGAGTAAATAGCCCATAGAACACAGCAAGCTTTCTGTGCCTACCAGATTTGCCCTCAAGCTTGATGGTCTCCTTGACATATCCGAGGCTGGCCTCAACTTTCCCAGTATAGGACTGCAGCTGGCAGGAGCCGGCAAGATTGATGGTCCAGCTCCCAGGAGTAGAGGTCTTCACTGTGATGGCCAGTTCAAGGGGATTGCCAGGATACAAAGCTTCTTTATTGGTTATCTCAAGCTGGAGCCCAGTCTTGGAGATCGCCTCATGCAGGACCCTAGGCTCAGGGGCCATGTCACCCATGGGCACAGCTGAAGCAAAGCGTGCACGAGGTATCATTCCTGAAGGGCGTATGAAGGAAGAAGCTTTCTGCATGGCCTCTCTTTCCTCTCTGGAGCCTGGATGAAGAAAAAAGATGGGTGATGATAGCTGTATCTCAGTCTCCTCATCCAGAGCCACCTTGCCTTTATTTATGCTTCTGCTGCTGAGCAGAGAGGATGTCAGGGCACCTCCAGCCTCTGCTCAGGAGACCCTCTTGGTTTACACTACCACCGGACCTAACTGAGAACAAGTCCTATGAGGAGAGGCTGAGGGAACTGGGGTTGTTTAGCCTGGAGAAAAGGAGCCTCAGGGGAGACCTCATCGCTCTCTCCCACTACCTGAAAGGAGGTTGTAGCGAGGTGGGTGTTGGTCTCTTCTCCCAAGTAACTAGTGATAGGACGAGAGGAAATGGCCTCAAGTTGCGCCAGGGGAGGTTTAGATTGGACGTGAGGAAAAATGTCTTTACTGAAAGAGTGGTTAAACATTGGAACAGGCTGGCCCGGGGAGAGGGTGAGGGGC